TTTAAAGCAGGCAGGTTTTGAAGGTAGAGGAAAGGGAAATCTTGAGGATGCTGATGCCTAAATAGGTTCACCAGAAAGTGCTGCAAAATACCATCAACTGTGAATATTATTTTGTTGACAGGTCAAAGTAGGAAATCTCCAGCCAGCTGGTACTCTGCTTTTTATGGATTTACTGCTGATAAAGTTTGGGGTTCAAATGCCTCCCGGTTGATTGACTATTTTGTCAGTACTATGGTCCCACTCGGAGACTGACAGTAGGGGTTGCTCACTTGGCATCCATGGAGAATGTAGGGACCACAAGAATCCTCTCAACAATACCCCAATGACTTTGCAACAGTCTAGACTAGATCTTTCTGAACACTTCCTGTCATTGGCAGTTCTTTTTTATATGGATGAATACTTAAAACAATGATAATATCTGTGGAGGTATATTAATTAACAGCAGAATTCAAGCATTGCTGGAAGACAGTTTGAAAAGTTTAACCAATGCATACAGTGTATAACCTTGAGCACAATCAAGACAGAAAACATTATGTAGGTTCCTTTCAGCTAATCTCTTTACCCCATCTATCCTGTTACCTGGTGTTTAGCTTTTCTTTATCCGAACAATCATAGAAACAGCACTGTATAATGAGTAAGCTTCTTGTGTCTTTTTTTATTTGGCATAAAACTTTTGAAAATCATCTTTTCTAAGGCTAGGCAGTTTTCCATTGTATGACTATACCCTTTTGTTAGGTCATGGATTACCTCTGATTTGTCATGCAATTATATATTCTGGATATACATTCTTTATTGGATATACATTTTTTACAAATATTTATTTCTTCCCAATTTATGATTGATTTTTTATTTTCTTGACAAGTCAATGGAAACATTTAATTTTGATGAAGTCTACTTTATCAGTTTATCTTTTCATGTTTGTACTTTCTGAGTCTTGATTATAAAAGATTTGTTTAGCCTAAGGATACAAAAATGTTTTCTTTCATAAATCTTTTAATTTTAGACCTTTTATTTAGTCTATGGTTCACCTTAAATTATTTTGTGCATGTCTATATTTTTCCTTGTAGATTTTAATTCTCTCAACACCATCAGTTGAAAATATAGTCCTTTGTACATGGAATTACTTGGTACTTCTGTCAAAACCAGTTGACCGTGTGAGTTTGTTTTTTAACTCTATTTTGTTACACTGACTGGCACGTGTGTCCTTTCACCAATATCACACTGTCTAGCTCCATTTGGGGGGAACTGTTTTTGTTTCTTGATGTAGGGGTCTGTATTAGTTACTTTTTCTTGCTGTGATAAAACACTGTGACCAAGGGAATTTATTTGAGCTTACAGTTCCAGGTCCTAGAGAGATTAGTGACCATTGTGGCAGGGAGGCATGGTGAGCTGGCCAGGGCAGGAAGAGAAACTTAAGAACTCACATCTTCAAGCAGGCACAGGAAGCAGAGAGTGACTGAAGATCCAGCAAAGCTTAAGGACTCTCTAAGACCACCATCCACACCCCCAACCCATGGCATGCTTCCTCCAGCATGGCCATACCTTTTAAGACCTCCTAAAACAGCACTACCAACTGGGGCAAAATGCCCACATACTTGGAGCCTATGAGGAACATTCTCATTCAAATCATCACAGGGTCTTACTCTCACTATATAGCCCAGGCTGCCCTCAAACTCAATACTCCTGATTCTACCCCTGAGTGCTACAATTACAAGCATGTACCATCATGCCTGGCTCCTTCTTCATTCTTAATTTTCAGAATTATTTTGACAACTGCCAATTACTTACATTCTCACACATCTTCTAAGACCCAGCTTTTAAATTTCTACTAAAAAGTCTTTCAGGATTTTGATTTGTATTGTTTAGATACATTGATCAATTTGGGAAAATTAGTATCCTAGTAATATTGTGCCTTCTGATCCACAAACATAGCATATACTTCCACTTATTTAGGTTTACTTTAAACTCTGTCTATAGTGATGTTTTGTAGTTTTCCATGTATAGGTCTTACACTTACAGTTTTGTTAAACGTATTACCAAATCTTTAATATTATTTGATAGTACTGGAAGTGGTATTTAAAATTTTCTCAGTATTTGTTTGATGTTAGTAGTTATATAGAAATAGAATTGATCTTGATTTTGCATTGATCTTGCATCCTGAAACTTTATTGCACATACTCATTAGTTCTACTAACTAATTTACTAGTTTTAATAGCTTATAAAGACTTTTCTATAAACATGATCATGTTATCTGACTCCAGAGATAGTTTTTCTTCCTTTTTTCCAATACGTATGCGTTTCTTTTTTGAGTCTTATTGCACTGCTCATGACCTCCAGCATGATGTTGAACAAAAGTAATAATGGGCATTCTAGCTTTGCTCTCAGTCTTAGGGGAAGAGCAAGCAGTCTTTTACTAATATGATGCTACCAAAAGGATTTTTGCCAGATTCAGGGGTTCCCCTTCAATTCCTACTTTCATAAGAGTTTTTCTTGCTTTTTAAAAAATTATGAATGGCTATTAATTTTGTCAAAAGCTTTTTCCGTATCCATTGACATGTTCATAAGAGCTTTTTTGCAGAATGTTAATATGGTGAATGTTTTTTTTTTTTTTTTTGGATGTTTTCCTTGGTTTTTGAATGTTGGCTCCCCTGTCTTCATAGAACATGCTCTAATTCATAATGATGTATTGCTAGATTCTAGTTTCTAATTTTGTTAAGATTTTGGGCATCTGTGTTCATCAGGCATTTTTGTAGTATGTCTTTCTAGCTATGTGTTTTCTTAGTATTGGTATTAGAGTTCCCCTGCCTTCAAAGCAGCTTGGATGCTGACTAGGCAGTAGGTTGGAGAAATTGTAATGTCCCTTTTATCTTTTCCCAGCTCTTAATCTACATTTTTCTGCTGTTGCTGCCCAGTGTCTGGAAACAAACATCTCACACACGTTTGGTCTGATTTCCAGTTGTTTGTAGCAGGAGGGAAATTCCAGAAGCAATTGGAAGGAAGCAGAAGTCCATTTCCTACACATAATCCCATTAGCCGATGGACCTGTTCCTGATTTCTATCTATCTTCTCCCTTCCTTCACTGAGATGTGTTTTGGAACTTGTGGTGGTTTGAATGAAAATGTCCCCCATAGGTGCCAAATATTTGGACATTTTGTCCCCAGACGGTGGCGCTGTTTTGGGAGGTTTTAGAAGGTGTGGCTATCCTGGGGGAAGCATGTCACTGGGCGTGGGCTTACAGAGTTCTTAAGCCTTGCTGGATCTTTAGTTGCTCTCTTGCTTCCTGTGCCTGTATGATGATGTGAGAGCTTAGCTTCTACTGCTCTTGCTCCAGCCACCTCCAGCTACCATGCCTCCCTGCCATGGCAGACTGTAATTAATTTCCCTGGAACCGTAAGCTCAAATAAACGCCTCCTTTTCTTTCTTTCTTTCTTTCTTTCTTTCTTTCTTTTTTTTTTTTTTTTTTTTTTTTTTTTTTTTAAAAAAAAAAAAAAAAAAAAAAAAACTGTCCTGGAACTCACTGTGTAGACCAGGCTGGCCTTGAACTCACAGAAATTCACCTGCCTCTGCCTTCCGAGTGCTGAGATTAAAGGCGTGTGCCACCACGCCTGGCCCAACTCTTCCTTTTATAAGTTGTTTTGGTCAGTGTTTCTATCACAGCAATAGAAACATGACTAATACAGAACTTAAATGTGTAAGTGTGACTCAGAAAGCTAGCTCTTCAGATATTCGAGGGTAAGTCTTCTCTCCCTCCTAAGCTTTTTCTCAGGTTCAGCATCTTCCATTTATTTGATACTATGGTTTCCATGGGGTTGAACCACCAAAGTTCGTGTGCTGAAAGTGCAGTGTGGGGATACTGACAAACAGGGTAACCATTAAAGCTGAGTCCCAATTAAAGGCAATTTAGTCATGATGACCAAACTTGGAAGAATTAATACATATCCTATGGGAGTGAATTGAGTCTCAGGAACTGGATACCATGATAGCAGGTTGTTATAAAACCTGGCTTCTCCCCTTGGCCTCCCTCTTGGATACATGTGCATCACATGCACTGCTTTTACATGTGTTCCCACTATACCATGTCATCTGCATGTTATGATGTGGTATGAAACCCTCATCAGATGTGGGTGCCCGACACTCTCAAACCATGATCCAAAATAAATTTCTCTTTTAAGGTACCCAGTCTTGGGTAACTTGTGACAGCAATACAGAAAGAATGAAAGCATTTGTGCTGTTTCTTATTTGAGCTCCCAGATACTTTATAAATCTGGTTAGGTTTTATTATTGTCAAAATTCCTCTTGAAAATCATGGTGCTTATAGCTGAATATAGTAACTAAGGTGAATATAGAACACAAAATAATTAAATGATCTTTTCATTTTTATGGCAAAGTCAGCACCATTACAAAAAGCCTCTGTTT